TATAACTGACTCAAATTTTTTTTATACAGACATGTATACTATACGCTTTTTTTAAAAAAAAATTTTATACATACATGCATGTTATACGCTTTTTCTTTTTTATTAACCTACGCTACGTCTTTCATGATATTGACTGTACGATTATATAAAACACCGATATTCAGGGGCCCTGTGCATACGTACGTACGTACGTACGGATCATATTATTCGATATGTATAAATGAATTTTATTAATTATATAAGTGCGCTTAAAGAATTTCACATGAATCATAGTTTTTCAAACAAAATAGATGATTAGTACTAATTACGGATGATTAGTACTAATTATGGACGTAAACTTACAAACTGTACTTCCAAAATTTTGGGATAATTAAAGACAGACTGAAGCACATAATCAGGATCTAAACTCCGAGCGAGGTACATTTTGGTGTCACTCTTAGATGCACGCAAGACAAATGAAATCACGTATATATAATGCCTGAAACGATGTGCTAAAGAAGCATAATTCATTTATTCTAAAAACTTTTTTTAAAATTTAACCAGTAATTATAAAAGAAAATGTCGAATAAACAATATCCTCAAATGCAACAAAATGTTTATCAAGGGCAAAACATTTATCAAGGACAAATGCAGCAGCAAACAACCTATTATCAACCTCAATATGTTAATCAAGGGCAAATGCAACACACAGCAGCTCATCAAGCAGCTTATCAAAATACTTATAAACCACCACCTCCAATGGTCCCATATCAGTCCACTCCTCAAATGCCAAAAAAAAATGGACGAACGCATTATGTTGTAGTGGCGCCATTGGACTAAGTTAGCTTCGTATTTTTTTCTATAATGAAGATGACAACACAATATATATTAACATAATAATGTATAATATTTAATGCGTATTTTAATATAAACTATTTATTTTTGACTAGGAATACTCACGTGCTTTTGCCCTTGTGTCACTTAAGTATGTATGCTATGAAATTGTTTGAATACTAGATCTAGTTTTTAACCTTTATTTCATCAATTTAGGGTCTAACTAGAGCCAAAATGTACAACGACAATAGTTCGCTTGGTTACTGTTGTCTTTATTTAGTTGCTATGCATCTTGGCATGAATTGTTTTGTTGGTTGTATGAATCGTGGAGCAATTCGTGCAAGACATAATATAGATGTAAAATTAATAAACTTTTGTCATCTAACATTTAATTATTGCGTATAATATCTAAATTTTATGTTTTTAACATATTTTTATAGGGAAGCAGCCGTGGAGATTGCTGTATTCATTCGTTCCGCTTATATAATTGCGGATTGGTTCAAGAAGCGCGCGAAGTTGGAGTTGATGTTTGTACATGTAATTAATATGTAGGATGAATAAGAATTTATGATCTATACAAAGTAATGATTTAATTTATATAACCTGATAGGCAACTTTTATATCTTTTTATTATTTTAAAAGAATAAAAATCAAATTATTTATTTTTACAAGACATATTTATAATTTAGAATGTTGAATTATGTTATTTTAAATGATATATGAGTGCAATTATGGTGAATATTAAGTCAAAATTTTAGGTAAACTTCGTTTTTGAAAAAATTTGTACACCAAACCTCTATAGCTGCACTAGTGATAGGAATCGACTAAGTTTTAGTCGACTAAGTCGACTAAAATCAACTAATCGACTAAATTTTATTAGTCGACTAAAAATAAACTAAAAATAGAAATAATAAACATATAGCCTAGTGGGTTGTCGCTCAATTCCCCGAAAGACATTCCTCGACAGGTCACTTACCCGACATCACATAGGGTTAGGGTTAGCAT